ACAGCCAAACCATATCACCAATTAAATGGAAAGGTGTATTGAGCCTGGCCTTTCCCAGTGAAAAGTATTTACTTTATCACTGGCATTGTTTGATATTGCTAGCACAGGGTGACTTAAAAAAAAGGAACTCTAAATCAGTGTTCTTATCATTTCTAAATTATCTACAGACAATGTGCTTTTTATTGCCTACACCCTCTGCCTCTGCTGCTTTCTACATCACTGCACACTACCCATGGGAGATCATCTATATCATCCCCATGTAGACAGGACCAAAACAAAGCTCAGTGTGTGTAAACATGCTCTGACACAAAATCAAAGAGTGTTTGTGTGTGGTAGACTTGGAACTCGAACCCAGGTCTAACTCCAAGGTCCTCTGTTTATCCTTCACACCAGGTGAATAATACTACTATAAAATAACAAATGTAATCACTTTAAGTGTTTAAAGAGCTCTCATGTGAATGACTTCATTTGATATTGACATCAAACCTGTGAGACAGGCATCATCATCTATATTCACAGGTGAGGGGCTGCAGGGGATCATTATGTCTCATGGTAACAACCTAAGTGGCACTAGCAGAGACTGAGTCTGCATTTCCTGACTCCTAATACAGGCTTATATCCACTGTGTCACTGCATGTTGTGCCACTGTTAGTACCCTGTAAATAATAGAAATATGCAAGGTTTACCTTTCCATCTACCAGCATGCTCCCTCCCCTGAATGGTATTTCTTCCTATTAGAAATTCATTGTCCTCCTTGATAGGTGCAGCAAACCACCATGGCACGTGTATACCTATGTAACAAACCTGCACGTTCTGCACATGTATCCCAGAACTTAAAGTATAATATTTAAAAAATAAAAAAATGAACAAGTCCTTTATATTAAAAAGAAAAAAAAAGGAATTCATTGTTCTCCAAAAGAACTCATTCAAATGGAAGTACCACAGTGGAGAGGTTCAGAGCATGGGTTTCAGGGCATGATAGACCTGGGATTAAATCCAGGATCCGTCAAATGATGTGAATTAGACCACTTACTAACCCTCTGTAGGCCTATCTTCTCTTTCATAAAATGAGATTAATCGTATTTACCTCCTAGGGCTAATTATTTAAGTAAAGAGGATATCTAAAACCTAGCAGAGTGCTGACATGCAATAAATGACTATACATTGAGTTTTCTATTCAGAATGTTATTCTTTTATACTAATATTCCCAATATTAGTAAGATTAAATGAATGATATTTTGTTTTCTAGTCCTCTGTTTGGTTACTATATTCATTCTGATTGAAAGAGTCTTGTTATTGGTGATGTCAGAAGAAGAAAGGCCCTATTAATAATTTCAGAGCATGGAATTTTGAATTAATGTAAACTGGAAGAGTCCTTTGGCAATTGTAAGCTATTCCAAAGTCACATAAAGAATAACAATGCATCTCTCTGTGCAGCATTTTTATGGAGCCACATTTTTATTATAACCATATTTTGAGTAAGGACATCTATTATTTTAACTACACAAGGCATGCTGCCGTGTGATTTGTAGTAGTGTTTCTTAGCCTCACCTATACAGAATTCATTACAAATGAATTTTGAAATGTTCATTTCAACAAGCCATGCAAAAATAAACTTGCACCATGGTGTCATTTGAAAAATATTAGAAACAATAAGCTCTTTATGTATTTATCAGTATTCATAGATTTACCCTGGTACAAGAAAATTCCTAAGTTTTCAAAGAGAGAAGCAAGTAGTTGGCTTTTGTAGCTGATTAGATTAATGCACTTGTAAGTGCTCAATCCTAGTTTACTACCAGCTTCCCCATGCTGGGGTCTTTTAGGGGCTAATAAATAGCTTACTGCTTAGTTATTCAGGTTCCGAACAAATTGAGAAGTAAGGAAAAGCGTGGTCAGGGAGACCTAAATGTTCGCATTTTTAGAGATCAAAGTAGCTAGAGATAGTAGCTTAGTGTGGCCGACTTATCTTCCCAATCATGGCAGCCCCAGGTGGGACAGGCCTGCCCACGTGAAGGCAGAAAGGAGAGAGACCAGGTAGGACTTCTGTCATAGAGAAACAGAGGAGAACCTCTGCTACCTGCCAGAAGCTTGGTCCCAAAAGGAAGACAGCAAAGGGATAAGCCAAACAGGCCCAGTTTCTTCTTCCCAGATTTTTCAATCAGAAAAAGTCATTTGTTTTCCCTGGGTCCTAAGGTGGTAGGGGACTGAGGGGAAATAGTCACCAGTTGGCAGTTATAACTGTGTGGCTCCAGAAATTCACAAACAGTGGTTAAAACTTCTTTCTCAAATTGGAAAATTGAACAAACAAAATCATAAGCAAAATTATCTCCAGCCAACATCAGTGGGGCACTGTGCTACAGGTGATGGAGTCATTGGCAGCTTAAGAACCCAATACAGTGAGAAGAAGTAAGGACAGGAAACTAATATTTATTGAGTATTCTGCTGCTGGTTGTCTATTTCTTTATTTATGCATCTTATCTCAGTGAATGGCATTACACAGATGCCCCAGCCAGAAATCAGGGTGTTACCTTTTCAACACTTCTTTTCCTCACCCTTATGAAATCAATTTCCAGTCTCATCAGTTCTGAGGCCTAATATCTTTCAGCCTTCAAATGTACTTCCCTCCCTTGGGTTTCAACGTTTTTTGTTTTTGAGACAGGGTCTTGCTCTGTTGCCCAGGCTGGAGTGCACTGGCCTGATCTCGGCTTACTGCAACCTCCAACTCCTGGGTTCAAGCAATTCTTGTGCCTCAGCTTCCTGAGTAGCTGGGACTACAGACACACACCACCATACCTGGCTAGTTTTTTGTATTTTAGTAAAGATGAGGTTTTGCCATGTTAGCAAGGCTGGTCTCAAACTCCTGACGTCAAGTGATCCACCTGCTTGTGCCTCCCAAAGGGCTAGGATTATAGGCATGAGCTATCATGCCCAGCCCCAACATATTATAGATGAGGAAATGGAAGCAAAGTATTAAACTATAGGCAAAGTATTAAACTCTCAAGTGACAAAGGATAATGAGGAACAGAGCCTGGATTTGAGCTCATGTCTACCAAACTTTAAATCCAAGCCCAGAACCTCTATTCTATGTCCCATCATTTATTAATATCTCCCCACAGCACCACTACTACCAATTATTGGATTAGCCTTTGAACTGATGTGCTCTAATGATCTATATAACCAGTTTTAGTAGCTAGCTTTTTCTTTTCAAAGATAAAGAAAAGGCTCAAACTGGTACAGTTGTTTGCCCGGACCACAGCTCTGGTTAAGAGTAGAGTCAAAATCAGATCTCAAATCTCCTCTTCTCAACTGCTAATCCTGGTTCCTAACCCACGGAATAAATAAGTGAGTTATAATTTGGAAAATTAGCAATTTAAGAGTTAAATTAATTAAGGCTTTGAAAATACACTTGGATTGTAATGAGGCCAGCTGCCCATTTGTAAAGAATGAGCAGTTTTAACAAGAATTGGGATAGTTTACAGTTGGAAAGGGGATCATTAAAATAGGATCCCCTCATTTTACAGGTAATAAAACCAAGGCCCAGAAAGAAAATGTATGATGAGAAGTCCAAACAGCCAAACCCAAACCAAATCCCAGGACTCCTAGTTTCCAATCCAGGGTTTGTTTTACTACAGCATCTTCCCATTTAGTGCTTATACAGAATAAGAATGTAAGTCTAAAGTAAAACAACACTACCAACAGCAATAAAACAACAAAACCCCATTTAGCACGCCTGTTTACATACAAGTGTTTATTCAAATGTGCTCCAACTCTGACAGTGATTTAAAAATGTCTCAGCTTATGGGAAAATTAAATGAGAAAGGAAATTGCAGACAAATCAGATGCTTTCTCATACATTCTTTTAAACTCAGAAAGTTACAGTCTTCTACAGGTAGAAAACTTAGGTGATAGTTTTGAATATGAAAAAAAAATCAGAAACAAGGAAGATAGACCCAAGTGCTGAACAGCCAGGGTTTAGTGAATTTGTGCAGAAACATTCACTTATTTTCCTAAATGAGCTTTTTCAGCTACAAAGTCTAAACAGAGTGTCAGGATCTGTTTTTCCCATGTGTACTTAGCCAAGTTGCCATTTTCTGGCAAACAACCTTTGGACAGGAAAGGCCTTCTCTCCTTGAAGGTCCATAACCTACACAAACACAGCATCATCAAGTGCAGGAGCTTGAGTCTACAATCCTAACACAGTCAAGTGGACGTACAAACACTTTTTCCATTCTCGTAGGATTGTTTGAATGAGTCATGGAAAATTACAGTGTCAAATGTGTTTCCCAGCTGATTTCAAGCCTGTGATAGTTTTGTAGGCTCATTCCTGGGCATAAAAATCAAGGGCACAGCTGCCAGAGAGAATAGAAGGCTGATATGCCAGTAAGTCTTCTATGCACCAGGATGGACTTTAAACCATAACCCCACTCATAAAAGCTAAATTTACCTGGGTGTGGTGATAAGTGAACACATAAGGTAATTACCTAATACTAGTTTCATTTGTTTCTTTCTTTATGAATCCTGCAGTAATATCAGAGCAAACTTCGGTTGTTAGCCAGCTGTCATTTTCATCAGACTCCTCAAGGCCATCTCGAACTATAATAACAAGAAGAAAAAGAAAAATGGTCAAATTATACATTGAGATTCCTAAGTCTTTTGGTATCATTGCTTCATTTATAAAAAGACCATAAAAATATGTATAGTCTATGTTTGTAATACCATGACCTATTGGAGAAGGGAAAAAGAAATCCTCGTTTCAGTTCCATAAAACCCTGCTAAGTGTCTCACTTAAATAAACCAAGTCTATGCTTTCATAAATTATCTTTTTGTTTGTTTGTTTGTTTTTTGGTGATCAACCCCATTTAGCTGATGACATAATTCACACAAATGGGGCTTTAAGATGTCTCCCTTCCTGCATCTCTCTAATCAGATTGTCCTTCTTCATTCCTTCCTGATAAGCACACCAACCCTCATATAAACCTGTGTGCCTGTCCTTCCTACAGATCCTCCCACTATCACAGAATCCAAGAGTAATGAAGCCACCACAGGACGACAAGCTTCACTCAAATGTGAGGCCTCGGCAGTGCCTGCACCTGACTTCGAGTGGTACCGGGATGACACTAGGTATGTGCCAAACCTACCATCCCCCGTGGCTCCACTGCTTGGGCCTGGGGGCACCAGAAGCCTCACAACAAAGCCAAAGCCAAGCTAGTTATAATTATGTAGAACTACATTCTTACAATCTTCCTTTTTAATGTTTCTTTCAAATTCTTTGGGGGCTGTAGCTCTTAAGCTGAAGCCCAAAAGCAGCCAGGTAAAATATAAAAACAGTTCAATGGGTAGTTTTCACCTGCATGTCTTTCTTGCCAAAACAGAAACTCAAACCTGTTTCCTGTTTTTCTCTGTTGATGGACATTGATTCTGATAATATGGCACTGCACAATTAAAAGAGGAATTGGGCATGGAACAACGAACTCTGGCTACTTCCTTTCTCTCTTTTTCCTCCAGTGTCAGGATGGGGAAAGAATTCCTAAGCTAAAATCTTCACCAGTGTTCCTTTCTATTCTTCTGTTTTTGAACTCTTAGGATAAACAGTGCCAATGGCCTTGAGATTAAGAGCACCGAAGGCCAGTCTTCCCTGACGGTGACCAATGTCACTGAAGAGCACTATGGCAACTACACCTGCGTGGCTGCCAACAAGCTGGGGGTCACCAATGCCAGCCTAGTCCTTTTCAGTAAGTATGCCAAAGCAGTGCCCAACTTGGTGGAATTAAATTGACTTTTCACATGAAAAACGTGAAAACCATTCCCTTGTCTATTAAAAGTTCACTTAAACACAAATAAGGATATATGCACTGAAACAAAAACGCAGGGTTCTCAATCTCTGTGCATCGGCGGGACTTATAAATGGAGCAACTTCTCTCTATATTCTTTCTTGCTTCGGATAACTGCCTAGATTTTGTTTGTTTTCTTTAGTTTTGTTGTTGTTTTCTTTTTTCCTAGTTATTTAAACTGAAAAAAATATTCAGAGAACACAAGTCTCTTTGGCAGTGGTCCTTTAAGAAGCAGAGGTGATGTAAGAGCCTGGAAATGGATAACAGTTTTGTTTGTTTGTTTGTTTGTTTGTTTGTGTGCGTGTGCATTTTTAAGGCAGTAATGAGAGTGATTGAGGAAGAAATATTCAGTGAGAATGAATAAGGTGATGAGAGAAGGGAGAGGCTAGAAAAAAAAGTATCTTTTTAACAATACAAGAGGAAGAGTGGAATAAATGATTAAAGCATAATATAAAATCTAAAGGAGGAAAAATGGTGGCAGAAAGCTTTCTGTATGACAGTAGGAGACATTACTTTTCTGATATATTTTTGGAACGGAGATATAATGGTAGGAAAAAGGAACATTTCTGAAGACCAGAGAAGATCCTGAAAGTAGACCAAGGAGGTCATGGTCATTCTAAAGTCACAGATATTAATAGGAGACCCCACCTTGGAGTCCTGCTCTTTAGCAGCAAGTTAGAGTCAAGTCTAACTCCCTCCCTTGTTGGGCAGGTGACTATGAGCACAGAAGCAGATGCCTCCTGAGAAACAGAAGGATGCTAAATGGAATCACAGGAAAATGATAACATTTAGAATAGAGAAACATTTATGAGAATAAGCAAAAGAAACAAAAAAGCCCATGCTGAATCTGAAAGTCCATTTGGACTAAAGGGAAAAGTTAAAAAAGAAAAGTACTATTATTATTCTGGAATAACAAACCACTAAGTTTATCTTTTTTTTTTCTGCACAGGTTCAATTGGAAAAACTAGAAATACTATGACCAGAAGAAATGTCTCTATTTTGCTATATTCCATTTAGATGAGACTTCAGGAAAATAATATATATTTTTTTAGAAGAAAAATCAATTTAAGTGAGAGTTCTCTTGAAATGTTGTGTTAAAGCCATTTTAAAATTGTTTAAGATTGAACTCCACTTATGAAAACAACAATCACAAACAACTCTAACTCTGGCCTTTAGTTTCTCATTCATAACTCTCATTGACTTCAGTCTGTGACAGTTTGATGAGATACAGCTATACAAATGCTGCATCTATATAAAGCTTAAAATTCACAACCTGTTTACTTGTCTCCAAAGACCAAACATCAGCATTCCTTGCCTCAACTAGAGACATCAATATCTGTAAGACACTTGGGAATATACTTCTTAAGAACTGTAGTTACCTGATTCATTCCTAACATTAAGGATTCTATAAATGGTGGGGGTGATAAACGTCCTCAACTGTGAATTTAAGATTTACCAAATCTAAGTTAACCTGGTTCAGTATAACAACATATACTTAAAAACTCAAAAAGAAGGTTGTATAGAGATAAGGAGAAGATAGAATAATTGGATGAGTTACAGAAAGTGAAAAATTACACATTTGCATTAAAGTATATTTTCATTCTATTTAACCTAGACTAAGAACTATGCTAATGACATATCAAATAATAAATAAAATGTTGCCAATAGACTGAGAGAGAGGAAAAAGAAAGAGGTTGGAAGGATGGAATACTTGAGGAAGGAGGGAAAGTGAGCGTAGGCTAAGTCAAAGGCAATGAGATACTGCTGGTGGTCATGGAAGGGGACGTCAAGCCCTACAATACCAATGCCCTATAACAGAAGTCTATTTAAAGGACTTAACCTTAATTTTACAGAGTTTCTGCTTGTATACTGAGAATCAGGGAATAAACAGACAAGTGTATCCTATCACACTTCCCTTTATGATTTAGAAGAGATCGCCCTCCATTATATATTTGAGGATTATGTGGTGCAGTGATTAATGATGTACTACTCCTGGTGGTCTCACATAGGCACTACCACAGTCGTGTCTTTGGCATCATGCAGCGGCACCATATGCATCAGCATTAGGTTTAGAATCGATGTCCCACCTTTATTGTAAAGTTAGGAGGTATAATACTTAATGAAAAATAAAATACAAAAGATCATTAGGTTTTGAGGTGCAAAGGAACGATTCAAATTGCAGAATATTGGTGAATCTATTGCACTATTTCTTAGATCCAAGGCCTAAGAACAAATATTTTTGGGGAGAAGCCCTGCTTCTTTTGTAGCAGGAATGGCACTCCCTCCACCCACCCACTCACCACCAGTTAGTTTTGGGAGATGCGTTCTTACAGCCTGCATAGCGAAAACCTGATAATTTCACAGATTTCCAAAAGAAAAGAAAGGAAAAGGGGGGGGGAGATAGAGAAAGAAAAGAAGGAGGGGAGGAAAGATGGAAAGAAGAAAAGAAGGAAGGAGGGAAGGAAGGGAGGTAGGGAAAGAGGGAAGGAGGGAGGGAGGGAGGGAAGAAAGAAGGAAGGAAGGAAGGAAGGAAGGAAGGAAGGAAGGAAGGAAGGAAGGAAGGAAGGAAGGAGGGAGAGAGAGGAGAAGAGGAAGGAGGGGAAGAGCAAGAGTACTTATGTGAGTAAATATTATTTACATTCAAATAAACAGGATTAATGGGAAAAGGAAAACACTGTGCAAGTGTCAGCAGAGGTAATTTTCCACAGAACAGATTCAGGAGGGGAGAGATGCTTGGGGGCGGGCGTCTGTGGCCACAGCCCTGACAGAAACACTGTGTGGGCAGCAGGGTGCTCTGCTGACCAAGCCAGTCCAGAGAATAACAGGCAGCTGGTGAGCCTCTGCCAGCCAGAGGCAGCAGCAGGTAAAGACTCAGAGCCAGAGCCCCTGAAGAGTTGGCGATTATTCATCTTCATTTGTGTGTCAGCACATTTTCAGCCGTGTCCACCACAGCGATGAGCTGACTTTTCACACAGTGTCAACTTGCGGTCACATGCATGCATACACTTCCCCACTCTCCATTCAAATACTGATCTCCATAGGGGTCAAAATCATGGAACGAGAGTGTAAGAATACATTGTATTCATAGCAATTTTTTCCTGAGCTGGTGGAAGCATTCCTTTCTCATTCATCTAGTTCTCCACACATTCTAGCACTCTGTTTGTCAAAGATCTACACTACCTCAGTTCATATAACCATGTAATGCCCTGGCCAAGCATTACCTTACATAACTTTTGAAAGCATTAATGCAATGGCACAATGTATGGGCAAGGATTTGGCTCCCTAGTCTGTGTCAGACAGGGGGATATGCATCACATAGATGAAAACTTGGATTTCGAGTGATGCCAAGAGAAGTTCCACTGTCTGCGTAAGTAACATAACAGACTGTGTTTCCAGACTGATAACTAAAATTCACCCACAAAGGTGATAGGTTTATCTTGTTTTGTGCTCATGTTGAGTTAGATTTAAAACATGGACATGGAGGAAGAAAAGGTGATAATTTAAATGTTACCACTTCTTATTAAGTGAGTGCAATTTACTCTGCAGTATCTACTGTGCTACATGTTTCACATACATGATCTGATTTTTTTTATTATATTTTTGTATCAGAAACGGATCTTGCTATGTTGCCCAGACTAAAGTGCAGTGGCCATTCATAGGCATGATTCCACTGCTGATCAGCATAGGAGTTTTGATCTGCTCTATTTCTGACCTGTGCCAGTTTGTCAGTTTGACCCTCCTTAGGCAACCTGTTGGTGTCAGGCTCCTGGGAGGCCATCATATTAAACTAGTGCAGACACCCAATCAGCAGAGTACACCACAGCCCAGAACACTTGAGCTATAGCCGTCTTTCTGCTCCAGCCTCCTGAGTAGCTGGGACTATAGGCACGCATCACAACAACCCTACTATGTACTTGTGTTTCTCCATTACATAAAAAAGCTAAGTGATTAGTGCAACTAAGTTAGGCTGAGCTTGAGATTTAAATTCAGGTAGTCTATTTCAAGAGTGCAGGCCCTAAATCAACACATCTGCATTTGTGTATGTGGGCATAAATGTTAGGAAATATGTCTTGTAAATTTGGAGGTGAGAAGAATGTATTTTTTTCTCCTTTTTCTCACTCAATGAGGCCTTTCCACTGTCTTTATACTGCTCTATCCCTTCTCACCCAAGAGCACTGTCTCCCACCTCCATTTTCATTAACCCCCAGTAGCCTATTACCACCAGGTTAGTTCAATGATTGGGTTATCTGTGGCATGTTGAAGTTCTCAGTAAATATTCCAGCCTAGCAGTCAGCATTTGCTCTAGGAGAATATTCCCTCACATTAAAGGACAATCCCACTGATTAATCACCTGGTGTTTTAGAGAAATGGGAGGATTATAAAGGTCTTTTAAGGCTTTTGAGTACAAAAGAAGAAAATACAAAAAAAAAACTCTTCACTGGGCTTTGTTGCATCTGTGTGTAGGTGTGTAGGAGATGCTTTTAATTTTCTTTTTAAACTTTAAAATATCATTAACTTGAAAAGCCACAGTCGACTAAGTTTCAAGTACTACCTAAGTAATCCAGCACTAGAGGGAGTCTTTACAAAGAGGGAGTCTTTATAATCCCCATTTTCTTTAAAAAGCGTTTGTTATCTGAAAGGCTTGCTGTTTAAACACACACCACCTGATGATGCTAGTTAAGACGTGGCAAAGCCTGGGCCAGGCGCAGTGACTCATGCCTGTAATCCCAGCTGAGGCTGAGGTGGGTGGATTTCTTGAGCTCAGGAGTTTGCGACTAGCCTGGGCAACTCGGCAGAACCCCAACTCTACCAAAAATACAAAAAAAAAAATTACCCAGGCGTGGTGGTCTGCGCCTGTGGTCCCACCTACTAGGGAGGCTGAAGTGGGAGGGTTGCTTGAGCCTGGGAGGCGGAAGACACTGAGCCAAAATCAAACCACTGCACTCTAATCTGATTAACAGAGTGAAGACTTGGCAAAGCCTTTTAACCAGCTACTTTTAGATGCCACACAATAAAACAGTTTGAGCAACTGTCTACCCACATGTAGTTTGAAGCACCGGATGCAAACTCCTTAAGTGGGCTGTCTGTGGATACACCTCCCCTCCCCCAACCACTTAACAGATAAGAAGCCAAAGCTCAGAGTTAAGAGACCTTCCTAAGAGACACAGCATGTAGTACAAGGGACAACCTTGTAGTCTGTTCCGGAAATCTCCCAGTCAGCTGCTAAGTGTGTTTCCCTCAAGCAGCAGCAGCCAAAGGAGAAGCATATGGCACCAAGGGCTCTGCCCTCCCTTACTTTTGAACACCAAAAGTTGGACATTTTCTTTTTCCTCCTAAGTACTATTTACTTCACTTTACACTCGTACAGGATTCTACAAACCCTAGCATAAAATATAAAACAGCAGCAGAATAATGGTCAAAGAATAAGAATACAAACTGGGATGGAGAGGCATCTAAGAAAGATACGTGAATAGGATGGAATTAAGAGAACGAGAATAGCTGATGGGGTGTGATAGGCCTAAGACAATGATAACAGGGTGGAGCTAAGACGGTAATAACAAGCTGAGAAGCAGCTGAAAGGCACTGAAAGCAGGGTGGGTGAGATGGTTAAGCCATATAATTGATCACGTGGAAATAAGGGCAGCGTGCATTTTCCCAGCTGCGAAGAGCATGATGAGAAAATACGAAGCTGAGTCATTTAAACAGTCTGAATCATAATAGAAATAATAAAAATAAAATTCAGTAGAAAGAGCATAACATGGGACAGTGGTCTCCAACTGCAACAAAAATGCTAAAAGCAGTTTAGCTGTTTATTTTCAAAGCTGGAAACTTAATACCAAATAACCAGTGGAGGCTTAAACCATTTTTTGACCTGACACTCGTGTAACTAAGACACAGTTGTTCACTGGGCTGCTGTTGACCTGCTCCATCTTAATGGACTTAGGAGACTTTCATATTTAAGTGACAACTTCAGCCAAGCTAGAGAAAAGCTGACTCTGCAAGGAGACTGAGTTTTCCCAGTGTCCAGATGCATACAGTGCCCAGAGTCCAGGGAAAATCTACTCTTCTCATGCATATGGCACAAGATGGTAGGCTATCAGATCTGAATATGCACATATGCTTTTCTCATTGTGGTTTTGATTTTTGTTGATTTTCATTTCTCATTGGTCTTTATTTAATCAAGCTGCTAGGAGAAATGTAGAAAAGTGTGTGCTAATTATGTTACACTATAATTTGGGGGTTAGCAAGTAATACATTCTCCCCCTAATACTCCATTCTGTATTTCTGAAAGAGCCTCAGAAGAGGATTTAAGCTTTTCTTGAGATAGATGAAGGACACCTTAAATTCTGAACTCTGTCAGTACATTCTATTTATGGCAGGTAGTTTATGTATGGGACTACGAGATACTTACTAAGACCTCAGTGTTCAAAAAAAAATCTTTTTATACTCAATAGGATGTATCATCAAGCAAATTTGATTGGTTGATCAAATTTCAGGTGAAATGGTATTATAAAAAGAGGGGGAATTAAGGAATAGACTAAAAATAAAATTATGCTAAGAAACTTATTACCTTGACTTTACTCCTATATTGGTATCAGCAATGTGGAAGTAAAAACCTGAGGGAAAAGTTGCACTAATGTTACCCACAGTAAATTTTTCAGATGCTTGGCTAAAGCTGATATGAACTATAGGGCTTAGAGAGAGGAAAGAATTCTATAGCTGACACACATTCCTCTGTCACGAGCTAAAGAGACGAGAGCCAAGACCAAAATGTGTCACCTGAATGTGATCACCACTATAAACACCCTCAACTCCAACTCTCTAAAAGATCTAAAATCTTGGTGTTGGGTTATTTTCAGTAGAATTCTGTATGTAGGGTTACCACAATCTGATGTTGTCCCCTACACTAGCTAAACTTTTTAAAGGCTCTGTATTTTTAATTTTATTAATACATTTCTTTGATAGTTTAATGTTAATAGGAAGTACAGATGAATGTTTTATGAGAGATATGATCCTGTAAGCATGGAAATTCATCCGTTGTATAATTGTTTGAATAAGTAAACATAAGAAAGATATGTATTTAAATTCTCCATGATGATTACTATTTTTTCCCCTTTAGAACGTGTTTTACCCACAATCCCCCACCCCATTCAAGGTCAGTATGATTTTTATCACTGTAGCTCTCTTCCTGGGTCATTCTCCATCATCTGTAACATGCAAAACACACAAAGGGAGAAAAACACATTCATAAAATTCACATACAATATAAATCATTTTTTCCCTTAAACCTTTTAATAAAAGTCAGTTAGTTGCTTCCAACATCAGTTGAATAGGCATGGAACAAGACTATCATCCTGCTCATCTTCAAATTGGTCAGTAGCTGTGAAGGCAATGCTAAACTCAGCAAGCAATTTTTTTTCTACAGTCAGTATGTATTACAAGTAACTAGGAACTCACATATTTGGGACACAGCCAGTTAAATTCTCTAGCCACAGATATACAAATTTTTGACTGACCACCCTCACAGTTGGAAGTTTATACAATCTGAATCTGAAGGGTGTTACTCGTAAAAATTAATGTATATACTGCTAAAGGTTAATCAATGCAACCAGATTATAACAAAGACATTATTTTCTCTTAAAATCTTGGCCAATTCATGGGTATTTTTCTTTCCTTTTAAATATACCTATCTTAGAAAACATAAATGAAAAAACAGGATAATCATTCTGAATTCCTTTTCATAAACTTTATATGCACTCAAATTAAATTTTGCCTCCTACATCATATTTAGATGCAAGCTGCAGCCACAACTTTCTAGCTTAAGGCTATTTAAAGGGAAATTGGCAAATAAAATTAAAACAATATAAAAAATCCGAAATGAAACCAACCTACCATTGAAATTAAATTCCAGAAAAGTGATTTGCAAATAGCACTCAAAGACCTGAGAAAAAATGGAAACTAGGCCATGCGGGGCCTAGCGTGGAAAAAATAAATCCAATTAAACAAGATTATCATACACACCATAAAGGAAATGTGCTCAGAATTAAAGGTAGAAAGCTGCTGTTTTATAAGTTTGAAGATGAATCATGTTTCATTAACATTTGTCCAAACTGTAAGTTCACGCAAACTTGTGTGTATTCAGTGTCAATAATGCAATGTTTCACATGTATATGCATTCACATATGCAAATGTATTTTAATTATTTTTGAACTAAGGATTGCAAGATTTCAATAATCAACTAGACAGCTTAATAAAAGAGTTGTCAAATTTTAAAAAGAAGACAAACTATTTTTAGTATGAAAGCTTAGAATAACTCTGTTTAATAATAATAAAAAAAACTTCCCTAAAACAATGAAATCTGTTTCTAATCCCAGCCACTAAAAATAAGACTGTTAAAATGTGCCTGTTTTTTAAACTTGACATGATACTTACTGTTCACGGAAAATATCCCATTTTGAATTCTTGACATGCCACAATTATTTTAACACATTTATGTTCTAGCGTTGCTGCAGAGATTGACACCATTTTATCATGTTGCCATCTTGCAAATATCTTTATATGAAAAACACACACATAAGCATTTGTACCATTGGATAGCATTTTCAAAGAGGTCATGCCCCATCTGAGATGAGCTTTGTACAGTATCACTGTGATTCTAGGTATCCTTTGTAAGAACAGTTCTGCAGCCACCAACTCAAATATTTATCTCATCACGCATTATGATATATGTAACTTTGAACAAAGTGAAGCCAGACACCGTTCACAAAGGACAGCTGCTCAGATACTGAAAAACAGTCTGGACTAGGGATGGAGCATGAGGGATTTTGCTGAACTTTATATTTCCCACAAACTTAACTGTTGATTGGAGAATGACCCTAGTTTGATTTTACATTGTAGGTAGACTGTAGTTAGCTTTCTTAGATCCAATAGTTTTTAGAGAATATAGTTTATCTTATACTAATGCTTTAGTCTTCTGCTAGTGGAAACTGAAAAGCTGTTCATTAAGACTTGGGATGGCTGGTGTAAGAGTCTGCTATACAAAGATAGTCCCCTCTTAAGTTTCCTATTTTTTACAAGGACTTTAACTTCCTGGAGATTGATTCACTTTTCTTCTCCTCTTTCCAATCCAGGGTAACCCAAGAGAAATGCAGCTTCCCATTGAAAAAAATACTAACAATAGGATGCTTAACCGTTTTTATGGTGCCGATTAGGTACCCAATATCTATGAAAAGCATGCCTCACTGTGATCATAGCTATAATGCAAGGCATCTCCATTTAATTGAATATCATATATTGTCATCATCTTTGTGAACTCTTAAATTTCATTCCTAAAATATCAATTGTCTCTTAGAAGTTGGTTGATATAAAATGGCCTAAAGATTTTAAGGCAATTAATTTCCTTAAGGTGTTTTGAAAGTGGGTGTTTCAAAAGCCACAAAGATTTTTTTCTGTCCTCCCATTATAAAAAGGAGAACTTTCTTCCCTAATTTCCAGCCTCACAAAGATATATGTTTCATTTCAGCTGCTTTATTGTTCATATCTCTCATTGGAGGATCTTCCCCTTCCTGTCCCCACTCTACATGGCTCATCAAGCTGACTGGGGATGCACAGCAGAGTCACAGCAGGAATGCAGTCCTAAACCCTTTCAAGCTGTGATTAAACAAAAACAAGGCTCAATAAATCAAATGCATTTCCCTTGGGTTTCCTTCATCATATTGCTTGATTTTCTGCAGTGATAATAATAATGCTGGAATTCCATCAATGGATAATTTATATTGGCTGTGGCCAATCAGAAATTTTCATATGTCCTTCCCCCCCTGCCAAAAAACAAAACAAAAAATAATACCAGCTTGCCTCCCTGCTCCTTAAAGGATATAAATAAAATAGTGCTCCATCCTTGATCTGTTTCTGATAGGTGTTTTCTTCCATTAATTTTAATTTAGCTTTATTCATTCTGAGTCCTGAATTGCATAAATTTGCATAAATACCTCCGACTATATTGCTGCAGAAAATCCACTGAATTGCAAAATAAGGAAAGAGTCAGCTCTCAATGTCTGGGGGAACTTTTCTCACTTTGTGAGGCTGACATCGTTTCCTGAGGTTTCTGGGTACTGAGCAGTGATAACATTGCTCCCCATCAGTGTACTAATGCCTAGCTCTTCTTCATAATGGAAGTGCACCCAGAGACACTCTCACATTGAGGACTGTAGGTTCAGAATGAAGTGTTGAAATCAGCCTCAGAAAATTAAAATGAAGTGAAACAAGGGACAACGACAAGGGCAAACAACCGTTTTGTTTATGTAACTCTCAAGCGAAAAATTCCCTTGAGTATGGGGCTCTCTGGACTCAATCAGCCTATCCCTTTCTGATCGCTGCCACTTTGAAACAAAACAAAACAAATCCTGGAATGTGTCTCACTTGTTTGCCTCCCATCTGATTATTTATCCCAAGTGAACAGCCTTTCCATTCACTAACCCCATGTGGCAAGTGGGTTTGGGAAATGTTGAGATTATCTTCCAGGTTCAGGCATGGCACTGGGTTTGTTCACAGCTGCTTGCCATTCCATCCCTGTTTTTCCATTGATAAAATGCATTGCACATGGCTGGGTTTGCATGATTAATACAGCTGTCCAACGCTTTTTCAGAAAACAAAACAAACCATCCCCTCCCAAAATTAAAGTTTAAAAAGAAATTAAAATCCAAACCACAAACAAGCCAGGCTTACAGAAATCTGAAGTCGGCCTGGCACGTTTTCTCCCAAGGGGAGACTGATATTCTTACAGGCAGGTCTGGCATCAGAGCAGCCAGATTCTATCTATAGTCAGAGGAGTGGATATATCCGCCCTCACCTGGCACCCCCAGGAATAGGTTTTTAAATCAGATTCCAAAAGGATGAGAGGGCAAATGGGAGAAAAATTTTGAACATATCTCATGTTGTGAAGAATACTGAATAGTTTCTAGTTTCATTTATTGTCTGTAGAATACCATCCTTAGTATTATTAAGAAAAAGCTTCTTTTCAGCTCCTTAATACAACAGTATTTTGCTTTGTCTAATAATGGTAATAATATTAATAATAATAGCTAACATACATAATAGGCTTCTCATGTACCATTAGAGTTTTAAGGGCTTTTGCCTGCATTAACTCAATCCCGCAACCCTAAGAAAGAGACATGCACCTTTCTCTCACACTTTTTAATGATTAAATGACACTTAAATTTCAACCTACCCCTGTTACACCCAGGCACATGTATAAATCTGTAGAATATTAATAATCACCCTTATGTATACATTCATGTTCATTAGATATGCATCTTTCCAGTGAATTTTAAATGTTCATCTAATTTATTTTATATATTACAGTGCTTATAACACAGTTACTTTATGTCCTTACATTTTTACAGAATCTATTTTCAAATATGCTTAACACAGTGAGATGTATGCCCAACTCACAGAGATTTATATGAAAGCATTCATCTTTTAAAAACATGAGCAGAGCTATCTGGCATCAGCACATCTAATTTCACACACTTATTCAGGCTGATTTACATACACACCTCTATTAATCATGGATAATTACTAGCATTGTTCCTGTAATTCAGTTTTTCCAACTGTGAAATGGGAAAGAAAATATATTTTTCATGCCTACAAGCTCAAAGTGGTATTTTAAATAACACACAAAAGAGAGCTTCAAGTTCCTAGAAAGAAGGTATACTGAATTTTAAAAATTATATTCAAATGCACGTGTCTTATAATTTTTAAAAGCACTGATATTTACAGGCATACTCATATCATATTACATGGACATTAGCTAGACATAAGTTCAGTGTGCTTTTATTATATTTTGATGTATTATGGATTATAAGGATGTCTGAAATCCCCACACTGCTAAAAAGTTTTAATATAGAAGCATCCTAAGGCCAAATAAAAAATATTTTTCATTATTTTCTTACCAATATCATAATATTACATTTAAGAAGAGCTGCAAAATTGCACAGTTCCTTGTTGTGTGGCATACACATATACACTCACACACTTTGAGTGAATGCCCATCATACACACTACCACATGACTGCCAGACCATCAGCCTAAAGAACCTGCACCTTTTGCTGGTCAGGGATATAAGGTATGCCCTAGGAAGGATTTCACTTTTTAAAT